TCGGCCAACGCCGCTATTTGCTTGACATGGCACTGGCTAATTTGTCTGGGTAACTTAAATAACTTCAGGCAACTTGGCGCTGTTGTTTGGTTAAGCTAAATGTGTTGTAAACTAACTTAGGGTATCTTCGTGGTGGAGGAGCGTCAATAATTTACTTGCTTTTCACATATCACAACTTAACATGTTTCGTAATCTTTTACCGAATTTCGGAAAAGAAGATACTATTCTCGTTAATGCGAGCGCGGAAAGTGAGCTATTTTGCAGTGAAATATATCGTAGTCGAGGTGAATGGAGGATGAATTTTTTTAAACGTGTCATTTCACACGCTTGATTCTGCGAGAAGTGAATCAGAAAACTTTTAGTAAGAAATGAACTCAAACAAACGTGACAATTGATCCGCACGATGTAAAATCTGATGAGTTATATATATAACTAATTACTCACTTTATACTAAATTATTTTTGTAGGTTAATAAAATTCTGCAGGAGGTATGCTACTCCCTCAGAAATGAAGCATCCAGTAACTCTTTCAGCTCTGAGCATAAAAATATTGGAATATTAGTTTGGTTTTTTATTTATGTTTCCAGATTAATGTATTGCAGTATGACCCACAATTCAAGGAGCAACCTTCATTGTAATCTTTATGAACGCAATGTTGGTGAATAAAAATTACGCAGCCATCTGCAACTTCTCTGTTCATTATTGCGACTTCTTTGTATTGATTTGGTTCTTCTTTGCTCCACATTTCCATTGATAAAAAGACATAGCGTCATCAGTTGCGCAAAACAGCGTCCCTCTGGCACGTCTCTAACGTGAAGGATTAAGTTTTTTTGGCATTTGTAGGAGTGAAGGACCTCCCAGTATCCGGGCAAGTAGGAGGGTGAAGCTTGTGTCATCGCATCCCTCATGCAAAAATTATGTCAGATCATCAGTGGCCGCTAAAGGTCTCATGGTCGGCCTACTATGGTTCGCCCTTAATTTTTTGGATCGTTATGCCCCTTTGAAAGTACAAATTGTAAGAACTAGTTACGAAAGACTTCTGCTCTTAGTCTGTGGTCAATTGTGAAACGGTGTGGAGACTCTTCCGCAACGTGTCTATATAATCTTAACTATAGAATTTCCAGTGCTGTCCCCTTAAAAGTGTAACATACTAGCATAGCAAGCGAATTAATGACGTTCGAATAACCCTAAAAATGTGATCTCAATATGTGCCCATTCGTAAAACTATAGTAAATCAAAGTTCAATTTTTAATTTTTCGTTTTTTAAGAGGCAGGAAATCAGAGCTTTACTATTTAATAAGAAATTTTTCAAAAGTCGTCTAAATATTCTCTAAACACATTTTCCTAATGAGACCTATCAAAATCATAATCTGCAACATTCATACCACGAGTGAACACTGCATTTCTTCACTTATTAAAAGATTTTGAACGTATGCGTGAGGCGGATTAAATATGTGGTGATTGAATGTGATTAGAATCAAATTTTTGTAAATTCCGTTGCTACTTTATAGAGAAAACTTTTCATGGTGCACAGCTGAACAAAGTAAACTTATCGATAGTTATGATCTCTTCATGGAAACCCTTCAGTAATCCAGGTATTAAATGCTACATTTAAGATTGGGTCATTATAAAGCTGCTGAACCTTTTCTAGATGCTAACTAACGTTGATGTACAATGTTTATTTAAATAATTTTTTAGTTTCTGTCAGTTGACATGCATTTATTTTCAGTTTCAGCACGTGAAACTTTGTTCAAATGGGTTTCAATTCGTTCATTTTAGCACTCTAAGTTTTGCTTGAACTTATGAAGCTCTAATTATTTCAGTTTTCATTAATCTAAATTAATAGAGACTGAATTATCATAATTTTCCATTAGGACTTCATCATTTTCAAAAACTGCACAACAGATTCCAAAAATTTTCTCGTTATCCAATTCTAAATACATCATTCCAACCAATGAAATTATTTCCAATCGATGATATAATTTTAACATAAATCAATGTTCCGGAATATTAGTTGAACTAAATTTTTTGATATTCAAGCCCGCTGCTGGAATTTTCTTACCACTTCATGTCGAAAACCGGTTTTATTGGCGGCGATTTATTGTTGTTCGTGTAGCCGATGGCCGCGTTGAGCAGGCGCTCAAGATCGGCATCTCTGAGCGGCAACTTTCCTTTCCTATTCTGTTGAATATTTTGCTTCCAAACCATATGATCATTTTACGGTTTTACTGTGCAGTACAGATTAACATTGCTAGAATGTAGCTATTACTCGCCTAGCTAAAAACTTCTAACTGTAACATCAAATATTGATAATAAAATTTGTCGCACGCGTAACTGAGCACGATGGTTATTTGTATAAAACACCAATAGTCTTCCACAACTGTAAAATGTTTTTTATGTTTTCGGGAAAATTTGACGGACTTCCATAATAAATGACAATTGTGAAACCATTACGACCGTAACCTGTGGTCTTCGATTTAGATTAGAAATTAACATAAGTTGTCTGCGTAGAAGTACATAAGTTTCAATAATTTTGAAAGAGCTGAATTATTTTCAAGAAATTTTGATGAGATATAGCGTCTTTATTCTCAAAAGACAAAAATCCCCTTGAATTTTCCCATTCGTGGGCCTGTAAGAATTTAAAACTACAATAATTTTACATCATCAAAATGAAACATTATTATCGTTGTGTATTTCGCCCAGTACGGAGATTCCTGCATTTTTTATTGATATAAGTTTCTTATTTTTATTTATTTATAATATTCAGAGCCTGACCTATCTATCTGCTGTACCTAAACTAGTAATACGTTCAATTTATTTTTCAAAATTATTATTCCTTAATAACTCTACAACATTAATACAGTCATATCGTCATATTGCTTGAACTAAATCTTATTGCACGAAAATAAACTATCCTCAACAGCTTCCTTGTTTTCTCAAATGGATGCAGTTAAGTGTTACTTTGGCACGACAAAATTGCGCGTTATCAAAATATTTGATAGTAATGCATATTTATATCCAAAATGATACACGATCGTATTGCTTTAAACGTCATGAAAACTACTTGAAAGAGAATAAATGTCATTTGTGGACCACACAGTAACTTGAAGTATGTAGGCATTGTCATGTATTCTTTATAAGCAGCTGTTGAATATTAACAAGCTTTTTATATTATCAGTTGAATATTTCAGTACATAGGTGCGCACAATGCAGTGAAATTATTTATATTGTTAAAGCGTTGTATATAATATTAATACTATTTTTTTATTGATTTAAAATCAAATAAGTAGTATCAAACGCTAAATAGTGTCAAACATGTGTTTTGATTTCTAGTTGAATGTTAATAGAGTTTAAATAGACTTATAAGGATGCGTAGCCTCACTTTTAATCGCACAAATTTTCTAAGCCCCTCATCAGAGCGAATAACAATTCTTCACCTGAAAAATTCCATCATGTGTCGAATCTAAATTCGATAATATAAATCAATCTTACAAATGACCAGGATGTCAGTGAAAAAATCTAAACCTTGTTCATGTGACTTAGATGGACGAAAATCAAACCCATCGTCATCCATATGCTCCTATTCCTAGTTGCATCTTTTAAACATGTAATTATATTTGATCATGTTGAAAAATTTGCTTCCCTGTGATAATTAATTAATCTTGTGATAGCGAGTAAAAAATTGAATGCGCAGAATGTGAAGGAGCAGCATACAGACTGCTGCTACAGCACTTGTTAAGAAAAAAAAATATTTATTAAATTATGAAGACTGCTGACGACTGTAGAATTCATGGAATATTGCCGTATTCAGCTCGTGGCACGGGTGAGTCAATTTGGTAAACATTTACAAAATTAACAAGCTTCTGTCTTCTTGAAAAACATACTAACATCGTTCGTAGCTTAAGCCATACTATGCATGTAAATGCTATTTTGTAAGGAACCTATATCTATATGATTGTTGGGTGATCAAATGTGAATTCATGGAATGATGGTTGTTTTAGCACGTTACTGGCTTACAACACCAATCATTAAGGGGCCATTGATTGCACGAAGTTTGCACGCAAAAAGAAACTTCAACTTGGCCTACACTAGATATCTGTCAGTATCAACTTACTTAATCCTCGTGCAGCGTAAGCCATCAGTCTCAAGCTTAGACACAAAAAACAAGTGTTTGATCGCACGAAATTCATTGTTATTCCGGGCTAAAGTTGGTGGACTTTCACTCGATTGCGCGGTGACCCCTAATGAGGAACGGGGAGGCGTTAATGAAGCGTAGCAACTTGCGCCTGCCTAATGAGAATCCGTTTACTCGTCGTGATGAGCTAGAACTTGGGATACGTACAGTGCATCGTCCTCGTGGTTTAGCCATTACTAAATATTTCGATTCAGTATTACGTATCAATGGAAAGTAAAAAGATCAGTTTAATAATTTGGTTCGTAATCAACTGTTTTTCAATTCTTTGTATTACCTTGCAATTTGTGAGCTCTTAATAATTTCGTTGGTCTAAATTGGACAAAACTGTTTCCTCTATCTGCCGCTCTCAATTACCACTAATTGAATAATTTTGCGACATTTCAATGAGATTTCTATCGAATATAATTATTTTGTTTTTTCTCTTTAATGCCTATCCGGCAGATTACTCAGTCATGTTGTGAAAATACATTGTCAGAAATTGAACAAATTTGAGAAACCTTTCTTGTGCAAGCGCAAAAAACACAAGATGCGTTAGCAAAGCAAACTTTTGCAAATTTTAGCTATAATTTTTCATCTTCCATAACTTTTCAAAAAACATAAAATTGGATCAGATTTCTGATTTGAGACCTAATTCTCTTCGATTTCACATCGTCAACCATTCATTGAAGAGCGAATGCGATATATACGCTATCGTACAAGTGCTGCGGCTCACAACTACTTCGAAAGAAAACCTCGAACAGCAGACTGAAATTACGAATTTATTTCATTTTATCACAAGCGAAATTCCGATCAATTTTTCTTTTATTGAATTTTATCGCAAGCTAAATACAACTCAGTACACTACAAGAGAATCAGTGTTCCGCGGAGAATCTTACAAGTTCAAACTGTGAAAATTTTATTTCTGATTTTCTTCGACAAAATCGTTGAAAATTTAGTTAAAAATTAAAATCATTAAATCAATTTCTCTCGCTCCAAAGACAAGCTTTGTTGCTTTAGAACGGAATGATTTTGCATACATCTTTTATGCAACGACATTATAGTAGTTAAAGCACCACAATGGTTACGGTATCATAAGTCATTACAATGCACTGGTTGCGGTATAGTGATAGTTTCCATTATAAGAGTTGCGATATTATGATAGTTATGAAATTAAGATGGTGACATATTAGAATGGTTTCGACACTATACTGGTATACAATTAAATAGGTATGGCATTATATTTTTTCTGACATTATAATAATTATGACATTATAATGGTTTCGAAATTTTACTGCTAAAAATGAAATAATTATGGTATTATATTGTTAATGACATTATAATGATTATGACATTATAATTTGTAGAAAGTAATAACGGTCACGACGTTATAATGGCACTATAAGACACGGCATTACAATGGTTACGGCAAAACAATGGGCATGACTTTATAATGTTTATAATGGACACAATCATTATATTAGGGGATAATAATGGGTTAGGACATTATAAGGGTTGCAACATTATGATGGTCATTAGATTGTAGTGGTTACTACATTATAATTGTTTCGACATTTTATGACAACTAAATTATTATGATTACGTCATTAAAATGGTTGCGACCAGTAATGATTATTACATAAAAATAGGTTGAAAATTAAAATCATTACGACAGCCTATTGATCCCTTCTCTCAACTAACTATTCGGTGGAATATCGCCTAGAACAATGATTTAGTGATGCTAGTCATCATATCGAATCATGGCATAGCACATTTTTTACTATTTATTTATCTATATTATATGCATGCTGTGCAATAGCCGTCCGGCAACTGAAAAAAAAACAATAGGAAAAATTGCTTACGTGCATTTCATAAATAGGATTATTTTTCAAGGAGATATTTTCTGAAGCGAAATGATTATTATGTTCCATCTCTCAAAACATCGTAATTCACAGGAAGTCACAAGTGTTCATATCACCCATTGTCAAACATTTCTAATAGTTCTTAGTGTTCTTAAAACCTTCAAACTCGTCAGAAACGATTTCGTACGTAAAACCTTCCAACAGAAACGATCGTAGAATTTTGATATTGAGCTTCACACTAGGCGGATCCTGTGTAATTTTAGTAATTTTCATTATGGAAATAATTTGGTATTTTCTTATCGACAATTATCCATTTTCTATAATAATTTCTTCACAATGCATGAAGAAGTTACATGTAAAACTGCGTATCTGTGTTCCACGCTGCCTCACACAACACCGCCAAAGCAGCGTCGCAGTCTTCGTCATGTAGGAAGAAGTCGTCGGCCGCTATCATAGCGACGCAGTTCTCGTCCAGCCCTCCATTCGGTTCCATGGTGTCGTTTGTCTGAAAATATTAAAGGTGGTTAAGCAGTAAATTACATTTTAACTTATCATGTTAGATGAAATTTACATTGATATAACATATATTTATTTCATTTGACGCGGCAATGAATAATATTTCATGATGCATAGTATTTCAATGGAATAAATATTATTCAAAGAACTACGTGAAGGCCTATAACTCACAAAGCCCCAAAGGGGAGTCGTCAAGGGGGCTAAGGTTCCATCTGTGAACCTGAAGATTCCTTCTGCTTCATGGTCGTGAATTCCAATCCAGTAGCCAGTCGTCGGGGAAATATCTGAAGAAAATATAAATATACAAACAATGGCAACATTATTTTCCATTGCAAATGTATGCTTCGTGTCCAAAATTGTATACTTCGTGTTCAAATGTATATCTCGGGTTCAAATGTATACCTCGGATTCTCGAAATGCTCCATTGCATGCAAAACAGTCCTCAAATCTTCAATATTCTAATAAAGTCATGAGTAAGCCCAAACATCATGATACTTCCTATGATAATTAATGACGTGATTTGTACTTGGCTGGGACAGACCGTTGTCCACGAGATAGGCGGCAAGATCGCCCAGAAGATGACAGTTATCGACGTATGCCAGCCTGCCACTGTTATTGAGGCTGCATGTTAACCGCGCTGCCGTCCACGACTCAACGGCGTCCGTGAGGAAGAGGAAGCACCGGCCGCTGATGCTGGTGTAGCCGTCGGGACACAACACTGCATGGGAAAACAAATAATTTCGAACGTTAAAAATGTATGGATTAAGTAACACCCATCGTAGATTGTGGGGTTATCCTCGTGAGAAACTGCGGCTGTGGCTGTAAAAAAAAGCAAGTTTATTCTTGCATTGAAAACGTATAAAGCAATAATATGTCATGGATGTTAGTGTCGTCAGTGGACCGGGAAGAGATGTTCCATATAACGAATTGCAAACAGACAGAGTAAAACATATAAAACGAAAAATCATGTCACGGATGTTTGTGTATTTAATGAAAGCCGGTATGAACACCGACAATAGTAAATTGTGAAGATAATTGTAAAAAATGTCTTTAAAAATCTGAAGCCAATTAAATGCCTTATCATAAATGTAATGCTTTCAGGTTATCTCGCGTTTCTATACTGTAATATAACAAGTTTCTTGAAATATATTTTTAAAAATAACAAACCAATGATAATATGCGAAACCCTGAATAAAGTTATTGAGTGATAAAAAATTGAGATTCAACCCATCGAAATGCAACATTTATCATAGTTCCTACTTAGCCACATTAATAGAATTTCAAAAATTTCAGGAAAAGACATATGAATGAAAATATGAGTTACTTTCTCCGATTTTCTCATCAAACCATTTTTGACACTCAAATAATACGTTTCGTTTCATTTCTTTAGATTCTCTTTTTTATGAATCAAATTTTAATATCTCTTTTATCTTAATTCATGGTAATTTTGGTACTTTGATTGATGAATATTTTGAATTAAGAAGTTTTTCTTTTACATGGCTTTAAAGATAGTACTGACTTGCATTACTTTCCTTGCTGGCTTTTTAAAGAACGTTCATCTTTCTTTCACGTGAACGAAAACTCCCATTAGTGATTTTACTTAATAATACCATAATTTAATTACTAATGTAATACGGCACGAAAGAATTATTCTCATGTTTTTGGACAGTAGACTTTCAATCACCTGGTTTTTCAGTTGTACTGTAATGCTCTACAGTTGTAGTGTCTGTCTTGCCCGTGTTACCGGTTGTCTCTAAAGCTGAACTGGATGTTCTTTCATTAGGCGTAGTCGCTTCAGTTAGAGTGTATGGCTCTTTAGTTGTAGCGGTTACATCATCAGTTGCAACGCCAGTTGTACAATGCGGCTCTCCAGTTGTAGTGTCCGTTTCAGCATCTGTATTTTGCTCGCACAAAGCGCCTAGTTTGACACTGCACTCTACGTCATGAAAATGATAGGCTTGGTTCTTCATCATCGCCACGCAATTCTGTAAACTTCCTCCGTTCGGCTCCCGAATGTTTTCGGACTGCACGCAAAGACAGTTTACGTCAGTGCCTCTAGGTGAGAAGGGAATGAGTTTAAACTCGTATTTCGACAGCCCACTGCTCGTTGGCGGGGCTTAATAAAAAATCATATTGTTTGTTTCTGAAAATAAAACATTTTTTAAGGCCATATTCCGATAATGCTGATTAAGGTTAAAAATACCTATTTGAACACCTTCAGTTGTAGCTTCGACTCATTACATCTTTATCTTATCGAGAGAAAAGTGTCCAGTAATCAGTTAAATTATTATCAAGCCATAAGACAGGCGACATAGATAAAGAGAACGCAGTACTCGAGAGTTTAATCACGTATCTCTTGCATGCTTCATTGAAACTCCGAGCACTTTATGTGTCTGATAACAAATCATGTAAATTTAGATTATATGTAAAATAATAAAAATTAAGATATTGCTTTTTCTTATTTTTGTAATATAATACGATTTTTCGTTTCACGTTAATTCTCTCAACGTTACTCATCATAAGATAACTCATCATAAATCATTTCTTTTAACTTCATGCTCAGCTGTGAAAACAAAAACAATCTCAAATTTGAATTAAAACTGACTTTTAAAAATAAATTGTATGCATTTATCTTTTATTTGGGTGGTTAAAGAAATTTTCAACTACTCCTGTCTGCTTTTTTTAATTGGATTGCACTTTAAATTTAATCGTGAGTGTCATCCTGTAAAAACAATTCTTAAACAATTCTTCGCAACCCTCGTTAAATAAAATTATAAAAATAAAATTCTCACCAAACATTCAAATAAAAAACTACTATAATGTCATTTTCTTCTTTGAATGGAATATGCCTATTTAAATTTATTTGTAAATAGGTTGATAATCATATAAATTTATTGTCAAACTCACTGTTCCCCAAAATGGAGTGCCCAGAGAGAGTTCGGTTTGGTTGTTGGAGATCCAAATGAACTTGCCTTCCTGCAGACGGTCGGTCGCCCCGATCCAATAAGCCCCAGACGTCGGTTGGACACCTGGATTTTTTGCATGATAATTTCTTCATTTTTTACTTGCATTCAAAGAATTTAGAACTATTATTGATAGTTATGATGGTAGGTAAAATGAAATTATCAAATTCATATCAAAAACTCTAAGCTTTTTATAACGTTTTTGTTTTATATTCTAGTAGCGGAAGCCAAAAAGACCTACTGTTGAGCACCCAGCTAATTTTTGTACTTACACTGAGCATGATAAAGTCCCACCCGAAATAAGAAAAAACATTTGAATTTTGCAATTAAAGCCAACAAGTCAAATATTTCGCTGACGAATCCGATTGTACTTTATCAGATAGAAAGATAGTGAAGAATTAAACCTTTTGCGAGTGCTTCGAATGAAATCGCCCAGTCATTAATAAGCTCACCATGCACCCCACACTCACCATGCACCCCACACTCACCATGCACCCCACACTCACCATGCGCCCCACACTCACCATGCACCCCACACTCACCATGCACCCCACACTCACCATGCACCCCACACTCACCATGCACCCCACACTCACCATGCGCCCCACACCCACCATGCACCCCACACTCACCATGCGCTCCCACGTAGGCCGCAATCCCCGCTATAAGCGAACAGTCGTCAACCCGGGCGAGGTGTCCCCCGATGACGTCACAACGAGACTGCGCATCAGTCCAGTCAAGTTCAACGTCTGGTAGGAACCTCAGGCAGCGAGTGCCTACCTCACTGAACAGCTCAGTACATGCTGCTGACGTCTCACCTGATCATATAATTTTGATAATATGTAGTTTCTTTTTTTGCGTTGGAAATTAAGTTAAGTCTAGCTAGTTGCAAATTTTAAGAATTGCTGAACTTTTTTTGCGTTGGAGATAAGGCAATGTCCACCGTGTAACTGACTCAGGGCTCGCTGAATTTTTACTGCCAGTTTGGGCTCGAATCCGCAACTTATTGCCTCTAATCTGTTACCTTTCGCTTTTGACAGATTCAGCACTCAGGTGTTAAGTCAATCTTCCAGTAAGCAAACACTATAAATTCTCCATTATTGTCCATATTTATAATATTCTACGAAGTATAATAATCAGGAACTACCAAAAATTTATTAGGGTAACATGGGGCAGCGAGCCCACTGCGGGTCATGGGCCCATAGCGGGTTTTCCGCTAAGTATGGCAGATATTGGTCCGTGTTCTCTACCGCCGGTCGACAGTTTCATTGGGATGAAGTGTACGGATTTACGTTTTGCTAAGAATTTGCGTTTTTAAGTTACTTGCAAATAACTGTTTAAGCCCAGATAAAAGTTTTTTTACTGCTAAATAAAATTGTTTTTGATTACTGTATATGAAGCTTATGAAATTACTGTGAATTATTCTATGAAAGTATTATTTATAGGGATAATTTTGAGTTCAAATTTAGACTATTATCTTTTAAATAAATGTTGACACGATATAAATTTAAATGATAACTAGTGGGTCAAAGGGCCCATGCGTGTCACGGGGCAAAGCGCCCATAGTGGGCTCAATACACATCTGTGAAGTCTTGTGTAATACATCATTAGATTTGTCTCAATGAGCTCTATAAAACTATGACTAGCTTTTTTAATTACAAATTACGCTTCATATTGTATGATTTTTTATATGCCGCCTCAAGGCAGCAGGTTCTAGTTTCTAGTTATGAGTATTTATTACCACTTATCGAGTTATTGACTCTTGCCTTGCCAAAATTTGATTCAGCCAACACTAATGAGCCAAGAGTTGATGAGTTTTTATGATGTTGGTTGAAATCACGATTAAGTACGAATTCCCAGCGCATGATATCTGGATAATGGACAAAACAGCTTTTCTGGTCAAGTAAATATATTTTTATAGTCAAGGATACATTTTTTTCATATCAAAGAGGAATTTTTTTAATGGCAAAGATATATTTTTCAAGTCAAGGATATATATTTTTATGTCAAGGAAAATTTTTTTTCTCGTCAGTGAAAGTTTTTTTAAGCCAAGAATATATTGTTTTTCAAGTTAAGGATATGATTTCTCAAGTTGTTAATAAATGAATGAATGTATTATTATTTATTACATTTTCTTATTTTGAACTGTGAAGTGTTGTTTCATAATTTCTAAACAAAAAATATGTAATTGCGATAAAGGGACCAGGGGTGGGCGTCTTGCCCCAAGCTCATGGGCTCATTGCAACAGGGGTGGGGCAGCGGGCTCATTTTGACACTTTTTACAAAATAGTGTTTCATTAAAAATTGAATAACTTTATAGGCGTCTAATTCACATCATACATTCCTCATTAGTTGTAACTTTAAATACAAGAAAGAACTACCTCGTATCAATTAAAACTTCATCAAAAATTTAGTGTAAAAAAGTGGGGGCCCTTTGCCCCCATGTTGCCTTATAATAGTGATATCAGGACCTGAAAATTCTTAATAAGCAATTAACTGAAAATCAATAATTTATTAACCATTAATTAAAGGATTTTTACATTCGACTTTACTCGCATACATGTATCTTGTTCACTTCAACATATTTTCCCAATCGATGATAAAACATGGGCTCATTTGATTATATTAAAACTATATGCACCCGAAAATTGTATTGTAGATCCGTACTTTCAGTTGCCTATATAAATTCACATAAACTGTATGAAAAAAGCATGTGCGTGCCCCAGGCATGAGCTGAATCTAATTAAATATTCGACTTAGCATTAGTTCTTAATGGTTTGACTGGAGGGCTGGATTAACATCAATTTTCAATATTGAACAATATGCATATGCATGATTTTATGATTTCTAAAACTTATTCTTATAATTGTTTTACAACTTCATTATATTGCCGATTTAAGGTTGTTCCGCTTTCTTCTGTATCTTCGTTTGAAGCCCTCGATTGTTATTGTGTAAATCATTATCTAATAATTAAAGAATAATAAATCTGCGTAACCACTGGTATAACATAAGTTTAATTGGTTTTTGCCATGGGTAAGAACTTAGGGTAAATGCTCCCAGTAAGCCATGGGTCAGAGCTCTGGTAAGTGAGTTCCTCAAGGCTATAACAAGCATAGCATAACATAGTGATGTCGGCGCTGAAGAGTAGGCCTGATCAAGAATTAATCGGCCTGTCGCCGATTCTTATACTTTTCGTGACTTGTTCACAGAAGATCTAAAATCGTGTCATTTGACCGCATTTTTTCATGACTGACGATAGTTTTGAAATAGCTGCTAGACTTCCACCGGGTTCGATATGGTGCTAGGCATTTCAAGTCTGAACATATATTTTTCCATAGCTTTATCTAGTCTATTCTTGAACGCGAGGTTTAACCGAGGAGGTTTAACCTTCTTAATCATTTTTCTCTCATTTGACGTGTTTGTAACATTGAATTAAATTTTGAGCTAAATCAGATGATCATCTAAAGAAATAAACAGAGGTTAAAATGCTACTTAACATGATACGAGAGATGAAACTCACCTGACGTCACAAGCAGAGTGAAAAAAATTATTGCCAAGGAGAACATTATCGGAGGAACAGCTTTCTTCAGTATACTGATTCACACTGAGTTTGTCGGGGAAGATTACATTATAAATGTTATTCCACCACTAACTCCTCGTTATCTATTTAATTACATTCATTTTTCCTAATAGAAGTGCCAGCGCGAGATAAGATAACTAACTAACTAACTTCATAACTAACTTCATTGTGAAGATAAATGGAGTTGCAATGGAAATTTCCTATCTGTTTGTGATGAAATCATTATCACTTAAAACAACTAAACTAACTTTATAATAAAAATAATTGGGGTTGCAACGGAAATTTTTTTACCTAGCTCGTAATTGGTTATTCACAAATGCAAATATCTTAAGGCGGTAGACTTAGTTATTTGACTATTCGTACTCGTTATAAAAACCTAATACATATATGGTGATGAAAGAAGATAATGACTAACCGTAATAATGAAATTTCAAGCGTACAATAGATGATCAATTTTTTTTCAATGTTGATATGACTATTTCAGCATTGAAAAAAATGATAAACGACTGCAAGCTTGAAATTTCAACATTTCAATTCGTCATTATCTTCTTAGGGGCAATTTCTTAAATCAAAATGTGAGATCCAGTGCCTTGAAATGATATTTAAATAAAAAGCCATCCAATTAAGACATTCTTCATTTGCTGCTGCATGTATATAGCATTTTTCGTTATCAGTGTAACATCATCTCAGTCGCCTCGTACTTATCTCGTACGACATGTTAATTTGGTTTCGTATAAATGGTCGAATATACATAATGGCATCAAACTCCTTTAATATTATTATTTTCAAGCGATCTTACATATTCTCATTCATTAAAATACTCATGTTCCAAGTGATGTTTTTGCTACTTTTTGTCTATTCTTTTGAAATGTGAAATTTCAAATACCGGAAAGTCTGAAACGCTGGAACATATTATTATTCGACTTTAATTTTTATGTCTCTATGTACAATATTTTTGCTGGAGTTCATATACAAATAATGTAGTTTTTTAGATGAGCATCAAAAATAAACTTTCAAACCGTATATTAGCTGGAGGAAATACTGAAATAAATTGTCCTCATGTCACATTCGATTATATGGCCTGCAACATAACATTTATGTTCTCACCGCCAGAGATCTTTGATTATGTTGTGATATTGCGTATCAAAAGTCAACAAATAAAAGGATATATACATTCATGAAGCTCCCTCCTCTTTTATCTGGCCGCTACAGAACAATTCCGTGGCTAACATGCAAGCCATTCGCTAACAAAATAAAAACATGCATGTAGCAGGGATTGCATCTAAATTGAATCAGAATAACATGGGCGCTTTAATAGAGAACTGTAATAAAATGGAGTCGCTCGGGACTGGCAAGTAATTGTTAAGCTTTAGAGTTCGCGTATCAATCAGTGTCTTTTCTGCTGGTATTGCACTGACATTATTCGAGAATATTACGTTTCCGAGCTGCACAGCGACAACCAATAGCAAGCCAGCTTAAATATCAATAAAGAAGTGAACTCCGTGATTGGTAGGACGTTATGACAGCCACAGACAAGTGGCTGGTGGTATTGTGGCTCAAGTGTGGGTATTGTTACCCGTAGACTTCCAACGCGTTCAAGTCAAGCTCGAAAATTCAATATCTTATTCAGTTCCATCTTCTACATCCCCTAATAGAATATTTTCCATAAGTCAAAGTGTTACTCAATTCCGCAAATTTCAAATTTCACTATTTCATCCTAGCCCTTTTGTGATTATACTTTTATTCACTTTAGAACGTGAATAAATAATATGTGGGGGTATATTGGACCCTGGCTTGAGCAGATCCTTCATCGTCCGATGCTTCAGAAGTTCGACGACGTTGAATGACGTTCCAAATGGGAGATTCAACTGCATTGAGGTCGATAACACCTCCACAAAGCGTTATTTCATGACACAAATGTCAATCTAGTTGGAATTCACCACAGCATCTTATACTCCGACGTTCAATACCAATCCTATGCATGTAAGGCTGGTGTTGACAGTCGCCCGTTCGTATCAGCTCTCTGAGAGCTCCTTGTGGATTCTATCTTTTTTATAGAGCCAAGCATGTCATCTGCACAGAAATGTGGTAATTCAATTTAATTGGTAATAATATGATTCGAAACGCAGCTAAAAACTAGAAATTCCAGAGAAAAAATTTGCTGAGAAGCTTATTGTCATAGTTACAGGATTCCACGTATACGTCGCGGCTGATACGAAAATAATGTTCTCTACTTTTCATGGTAATCTAGGATATCCTTGGGAAAAAGCACTTCTGATATCATCACTGAAAAATATTGTATAATCAGAATTTTCCTAATTTTGCTGACCAACTGACTCCAGACAAAATGTTATAAATGACAACAAATTTTAATTTATATTGAATGAAACAAGTCTAAATAATTTACGTATTTGGTATTCTTTTGGTATATAAAATGAAATCACGTCATATTTCTAGTGATTGCATGAGCCAGTTTGGGAAAAAATTTACACGACCACTCTATATTAATCTTATCTAATCTCTAATCTAATATTTATTTTCAAATGACACTTGGAATTTTTTTTTATTTTTCCTAGACTTCAGAAACCTTCAAAAATTCATTTCATCTTTTAAGAATATATTGTTCTAGATTTGCGGAATGAAGAAGAATCATAGGCTAATAAGGCCTCGTAAAGTCTAGATAATTTCAGTTTGCTGCTAAACCTTTTTTATAGTCTATCTGAATCAATTCCAAACATTGGAAAATAACTCAAATTTTGTGGCCTTCAGAGTATAACATTTCATCAAATAGCGAAAAGTGAAAAAAAATTCTAAAAATTTCACTGAGTTTAGAATCCATACATGAGAAACAATTCTCAAGATTTTAAATAAGTGCTAATATTTGTATATAACAGATTTTTGTAGCTCGATTTATAAATAATACGAAGCTACTAATACAGTTAATTATTGTCACTGTAAGCAACTTTAAAGATATTTCTAATAATTGGTCGGGCAGCTGAGCGGTTGATGTAGAATGAACTTCTGAGGATAAAATTACAGCATTTCCTATACGGTTGTTCGTTAGGACAACTCAATACAGAGAACTGTCATCATCCAAATTCATATTCACATCGTTGCAAAGCAATGACGTCATTCAGTCTCACTTCTGTACACTTGCACATGAGTTTTTTTGCATAATTTTTGAAAACATATACTAAAATCTCCAAAACATGTTGAAAAGGAATGTTTTATCTGCTTAAAATGCACCAAAATACGTCTAAGCAATGTACTGAGGCACAAAGAGCTCATATGCCGGATTTAGATTACCTGGCGATCATGCGGTAAAATATTTGATAATACTTACATTCTCGTAAAATAAAATTATAAAAAGCATGGAACACAAGAATAAGTCATCAAACTAAGCTTACAAATTATCTAATGCGTCAGTTCTTGCTCTTAGACTCCTCAGCATAACATTGATGATCAGCTAGCTCTGCAGCAAAGTCGTCGCCACAGATGCATGGCATCGGCCTCAAGACATCCGAGCCAGAATATACAGTAAAATATCAATGCAGCAGCAGTAATTCATCAATAAAGACTGCTGAAATTATCGGCCTGGTCACACGAACAGGGAAGAATCAGTCACCAAAGACTCAGTGCAGTTGGGCTTTGATATGGGCTTTTCATCCACCATTTTGTGCCCCGGGGTCGGCGCTCCCTCCCCGCCTACGTCTTATTAAAGTTGTTCTTGGCGAGCCCAGCCACGGCTAGCCCAGTTACGCCGGCTTTCAGAACCAGAATCGAAAACACCGTATCTTTTACGATCATCGGAAGGAAGATTATGACAAAAACTTCAGATCTTCTACAATCAACTTAAGGAAGATATTGACAAATACTCCTTATCTTCTACAATATCTTCTACAATTAATGATCGTAAAGACAATGATGACAATTCTTTACATTTTAGCGCATTTACTCATTTATGGAAAAAAGGCGCTATTGTGCTCGTCATGTCCGTCCGTCCATGACGTCCGTCCGTGACTTCAAGGACAGACGGACGAAAAAATTCGCTATCACTCACTGCAGGGAGTACTGATCTAATTTTTACTACAATTTTAACAACAAAGATCATCATCACTCGCACGCAAAGCATTTGATATTGGCCGGTTAGATTGCAGACATTCGTGAAAATTAACCGCTGAATTTGTTTTATTATTGCCAGTTCATTATTATTACATACACCTTTGGTGATTTAAATTATTTGCGCATCCTGAAAATTGGAAAACCAATCAGTATAATTTGTCTGTGTAGTTTTGATCATTAGAAGTTTCCTTTTGATAAAGTTTTCTGCCAACGCTCCGGCATTTTCCATGTGTATACATTAAATATGAGCAACAGTTTCAGCTTTTCCATGTTACGAAAATAAATTAATTAAGGATTGTCATTAAATAGGACTTGAAAGCGTTTGCACCATCACTGATTAGTTGTGCTTATTTGTCATAAATATTAGACCGGATGCGGAAGTAGCTTCAAACGCATATATGAAAAGCTTTTGCTGACTCAGTTACACATGTTTAAAAAACAGGGCTACTGCCAAAAGTCATTCGCTCTAAAGCCGATAAATTGAATTAATTTCCGGAGCTCACATCAGCAAAGACGCATCGAACAGTGCAACTGAGCGATGTCAGTTAAACTGCTTCTCATTTTCGCAGCAGTTACATTAGGTTCGAAATGTTTTTTAACGGATATTATCGAAGCAAATTTGATCTAAATCCTGTTCGCCGCATCGGACAAAATGTCGAGAAAAATACCTTCTACTTCCGCCCGCATATCCGTCACTCGAGCGCTTGTGTTTCTCAATTTTGTGAAGAAGCATTTGATGATGAAGTCCCGGATATACAGCGAGCAACTTTGTTATTGGCTCGACAAACATTATTGGCGCAATGTACTAAGCGGCAGAGCTGCACTGCTGAGAAGCATTGAGCTGTAAGTCTATGTAGAGGAGAATATCTGAACATCTTTGTTAATAAAC